AGTAATATGCATCATTATAATGTCAATTGCTTCTGCACGGTTCTTGATTTGCAGATTCAAGAGTTCAATGATCGTTTTACAGAGGTAACCACTGATCTACTTATATGTATGGCTGCTTTAAGCCCGATTGATTCATTCCATGGGTTTGACAAAGAGAAGCTGGTGCGATTAGCTAAGTTATATCCAGATGATTTTAGCTATGGTGAGCTTTTGTCTCTAGAACAACAACTTGATATCTACATCGACAATATACGCAGAGACGAAAGATTTAAGAGTGTAGAAAATCTTGGAGATTTTTCATGTTTGATGGTGAAAACTCAAAAGCATCTTGCGCATCCCTTGGTTTATAGACTTTTAAAGTTAGTTCTAGCTTTACCAGTTGCCACCGCAAGTGTTGAAAGATGTTTTTCGGCAATGAAGCTAGTGAAGACAGATACACATAACCGAATAGGAGATCAGTTTTTGAGTGATTGTATGGTTTGCTTTATTGAAAAAGAGTTATTTGACTCGATTTCAAATGAGAAAGTGATAAAAAAATTCAAATGATGAGTGAGCGTAGAATTATTTTGTAAGAATTATTTTGTAAGAATTCTTTTTTTATTAATTTTTTTATAAAACCTTATTTTCTAATTTTATTTAATTATATTTTATGTTTTGCCCCCACAATTTTTATTTTCTAGATGACTTATTCTTGGGTTCACCCCCTAGGGTGAATCTCTAGGTTCACCAACCAATAAGATGATGTTATTTCATATTTGATATCTTTTAAAAAAGGAAATAAAATTTTGTTAAGTTATATTATGATTGTAAAATAAAAATCAAAAAGAAAAAAAGTAATAATAATATTTAAAAAGACGAAATTATTTTTTTTTTTAAATATTTTAACATTATATTATGTTTTTAAATTAAAAAGATAAAAATAAAATAAAAACAGTAATAATTGCAAAAAAAAAATTTTAAAAAAAATTTAATATCATTAAAATGAAAACAAAATATTGTTACATTATATTAATTTTATTGATTTAATATTTAAAAATCGAAAAATTAAGAGAAAAATAAATTAAAAACAGTATAATTGGTTAGTATTAATATTATTGATTTAATGTTTAAGATTTTTTCAAAGGGTTTATGATTTACCCAAGGGTTTAGGGTTTAGGATTAGGGTTTAGGGTTTAGTGTTTATGATTTACCCAAGGGTTTAGGGTTTAGGATTAGAGTTTAGGGTTTAGTGTTTTAGTGTTAAAATAATTATTTTAATTTTTTATAAAAGTTATCTAAAAATTTATGATTTACCTAAGGGTTTAGGGTTTAGGGTTTAAGATTAGAGTTTAGGGTTTAGTGTTAAAATATTTTTTAAATGATTTTCGTTTTTATTAATATTATTATTTTTTATTTATTTTTGTATTTTTATTTTTAAAGATATAATATAATTTAGCAAGATTTTATTTATTTTTTTAAAAGATATCAAATATGAAATAACGCAATCCTATTGGATGGTGAACCTAGAGATTCACCCTAAGGAGTGAACCTAAGAATAACTCTTTCTAGATCCGCCACTGGGAAACTGACTTCTCAAATAATATTATAGAGATGGATTGTACTAAGATTTGTTATATTTAAGGAAACTTCCATAATTTTAATCCATCTCCATCGTTACGTTTAGTATTAATAGTTTATCCAGAGACGAACAGAAACAAAACTTGTATCAGAGTTTAACGAAAGAGGTAAACAAGGACTGACAAACATAAGAAATGTAGAACATAGGTCACTCAGATAAAAAGATCAAAGACAAGTAAAAAAATAACCTGAGAAATTAGTCAACGTAGCTTCCCTGTGCGGATGGGTATCAAATGAGAATCAAAGATTTCCATAATTCATAAATAAGAAAATGTGATTTTTTTTAATAGAAAGACTTGAAAAAATGGACATGTTCTTCAATTCTTTTCCTTTTGGGCTGCCTGTCTCTGTCGAGATTATCTCTCTTATGATCTTACCTGTCTTTACTTAGCTGGAATCTTCTTCTTTTATTTTTTGAAATATAGCTGGTTTCTTCTTCTTTAACCCTTTCTTATGATGCTCTTTGCAACTAGTTTCTTCCAAGTTATCGATCCATTTCCCTTAATCCCTTTTCAGAAAAAAAGAATCAGTTCATTTTCCATAAACTTCTCCAAATCCTAATTACTAAAGCTATCTGTATATATTCTTGAAAACCCTGATAATCTAATTCAACTCAAAATCTCTACCAACCTTGAGTCTTCTCTAGTTGTATTTTAGTCTCAACTTTTGTCTGAAGTGTTCTTTAGTTTCACCATTTCAATCCTTCCCTTCTCTGTTCCTAGCTGCCAAAAAATAATCTTATCTTTGGGTCAAAGTTTTCGTTTTTCCAAATCATATAAAATCCCAATTCCCCAAAAAAAAAAACATTTTAAGTCTTAAAACCCCATCGGGCTTCTAATTGTGAAAATCTGAGCTTTTAAGGTCAAAAGAAAATGTCAGTAGCTTGTGGACTGGAATGCGTGTTCTGCGTGGGTTTCAGCCGGTGGGCATGGAAACGCTGCACACACGTGGGCTCCGACGATAGCGCCACGTGGACAGCAGCAACACCCGAAGAGTTCGAGCCCATCCCACGAATCTGCCGCGTGATCCTCGCCGTCTACGAGCCCGATCTCCGAAACCCTAAAGTCTCTCCGTCCATCGGGAAATTCGACCTGAACCCAGATTGGGTCATCAAACGAGTGACCTACGAGAAGACCCAAGGAAGATCTCCGCCGTACATCGTCTACGTCGACCACGACCACCGTGAGATCGTACTCGCGATCCGCGGTCTGAACTTAGCGAAAGAGAGCGATTACAAGATCCTTCTCAACAACAAACTCGGTCAGAAGATGCTCGGAGGTGGGTATGTTCATCACGGGCTCTTGGAATCTGCGGCTTGGGTTTTGAATCAAGAATGGGAGACGCTTCGTGACCTTTGGGAGGAGAATGGGAGAGAGTATGATTTGGTCTTCGCTGGTCATTCTTTGGGGTCTGGTGTTGCCGCGTTGATGGCGGTCCTGGTGGTTAATACTCCGGCGATGATCGGTGGTGTGCCCAGGAGTAAGATTAAGTGTTTCGCGGTTGCTCCGGCGAGGTGTATGTCGCTTAACCTTGCCGTTAAGTATGCTGACGTCATCTTCTCCGTTATTTTGCAGGTTTGTTTGAAAACCCTTTGTTTTTTTTTTTTTTGAATTGTTATTTTAAAAGATTCAAAAATATGGTTTAAGAGATTTTAATTCTAAATATAGCCAAGACACTGGACTGACAATGTTAGATGAATTGAGAATTTGTTTAACAGAAAATAGGTTGAAATGATGTCTTAATAATACTTCCAGAATAATTTTGCAACGTTAGATAGGAAAATTGATAATTGTTAGGTTGTAAAATAAGGATTTAGATATATAGGAGTATTATGAAAAAAAAAGTGAGAATTTTGTTCTTAAGATTTATAGTGTAGATTTTAGAGTCATTTCTTAATTTTTATGGTTATAAAAATTGATAGAAATAGACAACATTAGATGAGATAACTGAGATTGTAAAACGTTAGTTCAGTTTATTTAGGAATTCTAAATAATTTAATAATTTTGATATTAAAATTTACACTATTTTAATAACTCTTTTGTTTGGATTGTGATCGTTAGTCCATTTTTGACCAAAGCATTGTCATAATCAGCCTCCCTAAGTTAAGAATATGCTTTGTGTCTTATACACTGAATCGAAGCTTTATTCAGAATATTCTGCTACGTTTGTACTCATTGAGGAGCTTCTTTTGTTAATAAAAGCATGTTAAACGTGAAGTAATATACAACTAAGTAGATGAATATCAACTCAAGAAACTTTTATTTTGTCTCTTAGGATGATTTTTTACCAAGAACGGCGACGCCATTAGAGGATATTTTCAAGTCCATCTTCTGGTTAGTGTTTCTGCATATTTTTTCTTTTATATGGGACTTCCAAAATGCTTCTATACTTTAATAGGAACTTATTTGTATATGTTGCGTTGGACAAGCTTGCCATGCTTGTTGTTTCTAGTTTGTTTGAGAGACACGTTTATACCAGAGGGTCGGAAACTAAGGGACCCTCGAAGACTTTATGCTCCTGGTCGAATCTATCATATCGTCGAGCGAAAGTTTTGCAGGTAATAATAATATCAAAACTTAATAGTGAATACCTAATTTTCTTTGTGATTCTTTCTCTGATTATTGTTTAATATGTAGATGTGGAAGGTTTCCTCCTGAAGTGAGAACCGCCATTCCCGTTGATGGGAGGTTTGAACATATAGTATTATCATCAAATGCAACATCGGACCATGCCATTCTATGGATAGAAAGAGAATCTGAAAAGGCCCTTCAGGTATTTTCAAGAAAATGTTCTAAAGGCTTTTTCTTTGTTTAAAGGCATTATTATTTAGGATTAATAAAGTAAAAAATGGTGGGTATTTTGGTGTGGTTGTAGGAATTGAGAGAGAAGAGTTCAGAGACAGTGGTGACAATGGCACCAAAAGAAAAGAGAATGGAGAGGTTAAACACTTTAGAGAAAGAGCACAAAGATGCGTTGGAGAGAGCTGTGAGTCTCAACATCCCACATGCAGTGTCTGCTGCAGAAGAACAAGTAGAAGAAGAATGCAGCAATGCCGAGGCATCAGAACCAAAGGTGAAGAAGAAGAACTGGGACGAGGTAGTGGAGAAGCTTTTTCATAGGAGTAATTCTGGTGAGTTTGTTCTAAACGAGAACGTTGATCGTACTGAAAGGTGAAGACGCATGACATAAATCATAAATGGTTTGATTGTATGAATGGAGTTTTGTAGATCTGTGCGGCTATTGTTTTCTAATATATGAAAACTATAATCAAATTCACTTTTTTTATTTTTTCTCATTTCAGTGTTAACCTTACAATAACAAGCAAATTTCTATTGTTTTTTTTACTATTTTTTAGGTTTTGTACTATTGGTTAGAATTTTTAGCACTCGTAATACTTCCAATAGATTAAAAACAAACATTCCTCATTTACTTAACACTAGTACCAACCTCCAAACAAAACCAAAATCACTGAAAAGAAGAGCACAACACATCATATTTCAATCACTGACACTAAGTAGTAACAGACAAACACACGAGCCTAAGTAGTAACAAACACACACTGATTCTATATCGATTTATTTAAGAAGTGTTCATTGCATCTGCATGATAGCTCTCAAGATCCTTGTCAAGATCAGCAGCTGATTTCTCCACTGGCTTCTTGCCGTTCCCTCTTCCACCACCACGGCCACGGCTGCCACCACCACGCCCCTTACCACCACGAAACCCGCCCCTTCCTCCTCTCATTCCTCTATGCTGGTTTTGACTGCAAACAAGAGATGATCCAACGGTTACTATAGGAACAAAACAGGCCTTAATTTATGTTTTCCGGTTCAATGCAAGGATAAAATAGGCCTAGATGAATTAACCAGACCAATATTTTACTTTGGTTCAGAAATATTTGATTTGTTTGGCTTCAATGCCAATAGTTATACAGGTACTAAGAGAAACGAGCTATACTTACATAGGAAGGCGATTGACAGAAGCGGGACCTCTTCCTCCTCTCCCTCTCAATCTACCTAAACCTCTCCCTCCTCCTTGCCTGCCAGCATCAAAGAAGATTGTGTTAATCATTTATCTCTAGTGCAATGCATAAACAGAGAAAGACAGATAGTTATACTGGATAACGACGGTCCTCTTCAGCCTTCCATTGAGTCCAGAGACGTTCACATTCACACGACCAGATAAAGGAACCTCAGAGTTGTTTCCACCCAAAATCTCAAGTCTCATAGGCCTTCCATCCAATAACACATTGTTGTATTTCTTAAGAGCTTGAATTGCATCACTTCTCCTTGGATACACCACTTCAGCTGTGCCCTATAGCACAAAGGAAAATACCAAAGAATTCACAGTTAGAAAAAAGCAGAGGCTTTTCTACAATCAAGAAGATAAGATCGTGAGAACTTACACTTGGACGCCCATTTTTATCGAAATGAATCGCATAACGTTTTAGCTCCCCAATCTCGGAGAAGAGTTCCTAAGATCCCACAAAGATATAATTAGTGTTCGTTTCGAAAAGCAAAACCACAAAATATGCAAGTCAAGATTATTATTATACCCTTATGTCATCGTTTGTCACACCATTGTCTAGGTTGGTAATATGGAGCCTGGTTTCAACGTCAACTCCTGACACTCCAGCAGCTCTTAGGCCATCTTCAAACAAACCATTCTGCCATGGCACACTTCTGGTCCTACGAACAGGCTATTAAAAAGACCAGATAACATCAGTACAATGTTTCTGTTGAACTTCTGCAATGTCAATGAAATATAATTTCAAAATATAAAAGAGACCACCCATTTGTCTGAAAGAACGAAAACCAGTCAAAGCAAAGAGCTCCACCAAGTAGTCAAGAACCATCCGTTGAGAAATCAAATGAAAATGGGGAGCAATGAATTTCTGCCCACTGCATATTGCTCCCTGCTCTGGTTCCAAGAGAAAGTCTTTGTACCAAAGAAAAACCAGGACAGTCATAGTACGCCGAAGAAAATCAAGATGCTGCAAGACTGTGTAGGGCTAAGTCACTACAGGCCCTATTAATGTCAGAACAGTTAACTGAACTTCCCCATAAACACCACACATCTTTTGTGGTAGTGGTAGAACAAAGATTTGCTTTCAGATTAGTGTGGCAAAAGCAACTAAGAACTTGTCCATATATAACTATACGTGTTTGCCAAAGTCCTCACAAAAAGTCACAAGTCAACCACATAAACCGAAAATTGCAGGGGTAAGAAGCTTTTCTAGATGAAATCATCTCCATAAATTACAAAGAGGCATGTATCATCTCCTGCACGGGTCTGAATGTTAAAGCATGACGAATATTGACTTGTATGCAATGAATGAGAAAACCTGCTTCTCCATATAACATAAGAGAAGGCTCCCATCGCTTAGTTTTAGCATTTGACACCATAATAGACTCAGATATCCAAATCATACACAGAGAAGATCCCAGATAATGAGCTTGCCTTGTTAATGGTGAAGGATGAGGTCCGAGGAGCATTCACAGCAAGAGGGCCTCTTCGAGCAGGTCCGTTTCCTCTTCCACCACCAAGAAACCCATTTGGTCCATGACCACGGCGACCACCACCACGGCGGGAAGTTCCTCTTCCCCCAGACCTCGCAGCCTTACCCCTTTTGATAGATTCATCAAGAGTCATATCTAAAGCTCCCGACATCTTCTCAGCGCAATAACAATCCAACCCAATTACGAATCAAAGAGTGCCTGAAGGCATATATAATCGTGTCAAAATTGGGAAGCAGCAAAGGGAATGTTCAAGATCCCATCAGATATCACAGTTCAGGTATGCATAACGAACATCTATCGAAGCTCCCTAGATCGACAGATCTACTATGCATCTTATACAGAAACCGGAAATCTAGAAAGGAAGGGGACTTACCAAGAAGGAGATCGAGATCAGAACCGAGAAAAAAACAAGATGGAATGATTGGGCTTAGGGTTTTGAGGAAAGACTTGGGTAATCCTTCTTCGGAGTTTGGGAGACGAGGAGACTTTTGTAATTAGTTGATGTAATTTGACGCAGATAAATGGGCCAATGGCGAGGATACTTTCGTGATTATTAGCTTCAAAATCTGTGATCAAATTTTCTTATGCACCAAGTTGGTTGGCAAAGTTCTACTTTAGCTCTCTTCTAATTTGGTTTTTCATTTTTAAATAAAGCATTTCTTTTAAATGTCATTTTAACTCTGTCTAATTTTATTTACACTAACTTAATCATAATAAATTGTAAATTACTCTAAACTAGGTGTTTTGCCCGCACTTGAGGGCATAATTCTCTTATGAAAATTTATTAGTTGATGTTTCATTAATTTTAAAATCAGTATAGTAAGTTATTATTTATGTTTTCAAAAATTAAATTCAAACATCAAATAATTATCAATGACAAAACTGAAACATCAGAAATATTTAAAAGAATCTTTCTATAACTATTTTTCTCGATCCATATTTAATTATAATATTTATATCTTTATTTTAAAATTTATAATATAAAAACATATTTTCAAGATAACAATATAATGCTTAAGTTATTTATTTTCTGAAAATATAATATGATAACATTTTTAACTATATAATAATTATATAAGATTATAGGCATATAATTAAAATTAACTAAAATCATTGAGAACTTAATGAATCAGTAAATTCACTTCTTAAATAATTTTTCTTGAGTGATGATTTATATTTAATTAATAATAGATAATTTCTATTTTACTTTTAAATTATATAATATAAAAATATATTTTCAGGATAACAATATAATACATAAGAATTACCATATTCTCTAAAAGTATAATATTATTAGTGTAAATTTATTAGAATTATAGAATAACTACAACTTTTATATCTTAATTTTAAATATCTAATAGAAAACTATATTTTCAAGACAGAAACTTAATACATAAGAAGTATTTTATTTTCTAAGAATTTGATACTATTAATATAAATTTGTTTTAAATTTATTATATAAAATTATATAAATTGATAAATTATCTAAGTTACCTAAAACCATGGAAAATATGACGAATTAGAAAACATCAAATTCACTTCTTAAATAATATTATAGATTTTTTACATGTTAATTTCAAATTTTATAATAGAAAAATATTTTTTCAAGATAACAACATAATACATAAGAATTAACTTATTTTAATATAAATTAGTTTAATTATATAATCAATAATAAACAAAATTATAGAAATTCTGATAAATGATCAAAATTACCTAGGATCATGGAGACAAATCAACAAATCCCCTTTTCAAATAATTGTTTTCATGATTTATATTTAATTATGATTTATATTTAATTATTAATAATATAATAAATATATCTTAATTTTAAGTTCTATAATAGGAAAATATATATTCAACATAACAACATAACCATAATAATTATCTTATTTTAGAAAAAATATTAAATTATATAAATTCGTTTTAATTATATTTAAATATTAAATTATTAATATAAATTTGTTTTAAATAAATATAATAGTGTTTATATCTTAATTTAAATTTTAAGTTTTATATACAAAAATATATTTCAAGATAACAACATAATTCACAAGAATTATCTTATTTACTAAAAATATGATATATTCATATAAATTCGTTTTATTTATAAACAAAATTACCTAAACTTCAGGAAAACATGACATCTCAGCAATTTTACTTCTTAAATAATAGTATAGATTGTTTTATTTTTTTGTTCAACTATATTATTAGTTATACAAATCATACTATTTATACTACTCCACAAGTTGTACTACAATATTAGTTATCCCTTAATTATTAAAACATAAACATTTTTAAAAAGAAACCTTGCAATGATGTGTGATTAACGAAACTGCCATTATTTATGTCACAGCACCACATCGCTTCTTAAAAGATTTATCAAAAAAGTCTCTCATTACTAAAATAATTACAAAGAACTGCCATTATAATATATTTTAGTCACCTGGTTAGTAAAAGTGACACAGCTCGGTCCGCAAATATATTTTTTGAGTAATACTCATTTCACAATTATTTGGGCATGTAACTTACAGAAAATGAATTTGTATGCATATCATATTTTATCATTTAAGTTCAGTGCACAAAATTGCATTGTTCGAATACTCATAGGTGATAATCTTACAAAACTTTGCTATATCGCATTATCTTACAAGCTACTAAAATTAATATGAAATACAAATATGATTACTCCTATATATGTATTCATATTTTGGTATATTGATTGCATAATCTTTTACAAGCTACTAAACTTAATATGAAATACAAATATGATTACTCCTATATATGTATTATGAAATACAAATGATTACTCCTATATATGTATTATGAAATAAAAATATTCGCGGGTTATCATATTGTTAACCATAGTTCTAATATTTATTTCATAATTTTACATATAAGGAAGCCAAGATCGGAAATAAACCAGGCGAAATTAATTCTAGGCTTTTATTGTTTTACATATAAGGAAGCCAAGATAGATTGATTCCTTAATTATTTAGCTTTTTAACTATTACAAAATTCAATATCAAATCGTGAATAACATTTAACCCATACACATAATAAGTAAGAAAGAGATGTCAATATCCATGCCTAGGCCATAGCTGCATTGGTGGTACATGGAAAACTTTTTTGTGGAATATTCTTCCAGCTGATGTATGCTCGAGAGGTGATGTGGTACTTAACGTTGCTTTGAGCGGAATAGCTGCATTGTTGCTTCCTGGCAGAAGAACTGCACATTCAAGGTTTAGCATTCCTATAAATCCTGATGAATTTTCAACTAACAAGATACAACCCGGTAGTCATCAAGCAGAATTGATCTCTAAGGCATCTTTTATTATATGAGATGAAGCACCGATGATGAGCAAGCATTGCTTTGAGTCTCTTGATCATAGTCTATGCGATATTATGAAGGCTACTGATGAAAGGCCTTTTGGTGGGAAAGTTGTAGTTTTTGGTGGTGGTTTTAGACAGATACTACCAGTAATTCCGAAGGGAAATCGTGCTGATATAGTCATGGCTACTCTTAATTCATCTTATTTGTGGAAGCATTGCAAAGTTTTGCAGCTAACTAAAAATATGAGGCTTTATTTAGAACCAGAATGTCGTGAAGCGGAGGAGATTAAGGAGTTCTGTAAATGGATTTTGGATTTAGGAGATGGAAAGATTAATGAGTCAAACAGTGGAGAAACTATGATTGACATTCCTAAGGATCTGCTCATTGATCATTGCACTGATCCTATCGAGTCTATTGTTTCAGAAGTCTATGGAACTACTATCAAAGATACGAATGATCCTATTTTTTCCAGGAGAGGGCTATTGTTTTAAATCATTATGGTTATGTTAAATCATGGCCATAATTAATTTTAAATTGTTTATTTGTATTTGATAAACTTAAAATATTGTTTTTAAAAATAATTTAAAATTTAACTTATTTTTTTATAAAATTATTATTTTTTAAATAATTTGTAAAAATATAATTTCTAGTATTATTTTACAAAGAAATCAATTATATTAAATTAGTTTTGAAACTTTATATGTTTTAAATGCAAATATTTTACCAACTGCTTCTAAAGAAAACATTAGGGAACTTGCTAATACTCTACCAATCAAGCCCAATGACACTCTGTTTATTTTCCTTCAGTCGAACACTGAAAAGTGAAAAGATATATAAAATCGTGTCCATTAAATTCTAAGCTTTGATCTATAGTTCTAATTACAATTGTTTATGATCCTACGTATAGATAAATATATAAAAACTCCAAAATTATAAAATTTCATACATATAAAAACAATCATATTTCAATTTTTAATTTGTCATAACTAAAATTTTATATTTTAATTACATATATTCACCCTGCGCAAGACGCAGGTCTTATCCTAGTAGAAATAATAAAACACAAGAAGATTGCAGAATATGTAATATTTAAAGTATTATATGATTTATATAATTGCAAAAACGTAATTAAGGAAATGCTAATTTAATATGGACAGTCAGGATAACCCAAGTCAATATATTATTTACTTGCATATCGACCAATTTTTGTTATATATAGTATCGGACAAACCATTAACTCCTCAGCGAGAATCGCACATCTCACACAAACATCTTGCATTCTTCGAAATGGGTAGTCATACAACATTAGCAGAATTAAGTTTTCTAAAACCTTTGCTTCCAATACGGGTTAAGGTTATCCGCAAGGGAAAGACAGAAGTTGTGTCAACATTCCAGAAATCGGAACTAATAATAGGAGATGAGAAAGTGAGCTATATTTATTGTTACATTCTGTTATTATATATCTGGGTCTTTTTATAGCAGATTTACTAACCAGTTTATACTGCTATTCAACAGGGAAACACTATTCAAGCAACATTTTCCAGAGATTTCGATTTCCACTGAAATGTCATTGGAGGAATGTCACTGCTATGAAATTAATAAATTCATAGTAAGTCCTGCAGCAAATCCTCTTCGGTTGACAAAGAACCCTCACCATTTTAACCTCGATAGCTCCTCTGTCATTTCGAAGATCGATAATTTTCCCATTTGCAACTATTTTCTAATTCCAGACTTTGACGATCTCTATCGTGGTTTAGTCCATCCTAAATTTTCTATTGGTATTTTTTATATACTATCTAATATATTCGTCGTATTAAAGTTTGTAATGAGGCGTATTATGTTAATATTTATTGATTACTTACATGTTTGTAATATTTTTCACAAAATATGACGCAGATGTTTATGGCGCTATAGTAGGAGTAGGATTTCTTGAAGAATATACGACGGAACCTGCTCACGGAAACAATGGTTTCATCGACCATAAAATACATTTCTTTGTACAAAACATGGAGTAAGTTTTCGACTTTTGGAAGTAAAAACTGATTTACTTAGTATCATATTTGCTGAAATATTTTGTTGCATATTGATTACAGTAACATTGTCGTTAAGTGTGTTGCATTTGGAGCACTTGCTCATGTTTTCCAAACAATATGGAATTCAATTGACGAGAATGTTGTACTATGTGTGTTACAATTCTGGCAAATTAATTGGAGAGTAGGCAAATTGTTA